TTCTAACCACTTATTTAATTATAATCCTCCTATAAAAAACCACCCATTTGTTAAATACAATTCTAGTTGAAGCGCACTTAAGTGCATTCATGACTGCAAAAATGTTAACGGAAATCGAAAAGGCCAGCGTGCATGAAGGCTATTTTAATTGTAATCTTTCGTCGCATTTCTAAGGCGCAATGAAGCAACTATTTGAACTCTCCGGAATGCGTGAGGTATCACGCTGCATTTGAAGGCGTTTTCAAAACAGCCAAGTTCCGTTATCGGAATAATCGTTTTGCATACTTCCTATTCATTTGTTTCAATTTCTAACCACTGATTTAATTATAATCCTTCTATAAAAACCACTCATTTGTTAAATACAATTCTAGTTGAAGCGCACTTAAGTGCATTCATGACTGCAAAAATGTTAACGGAAATGAAATATGCCAGCGTGCATGAAGGCTATCTCCCTGTAAATCTTCCGTCAAATTCTTACGGCGCAATGATACAACTATTTGAAGTCTCCGGAACGCGTGAGGTATCACGCCGCATTTGAAGGCGTTTTCAAAACAGCCAAGTTCCGATACCCGTATTATCGTTTTGCATAGTTCATATTCTTTTGTTATATTCTGTACCACTAGTTAATTTTAATCCTCGTAGAAAAACCACCCATTTGCGAAATATGATCCTAGCTGGAGCGCACTTAAGTGCATTCATGACTGCAAAAATGTTAACGGAAATCGAAATGGCCAGCGTGCATGAAGGCTATTTCAATTGTAATCTTCCGTTGCGTTTCTAAGGCGCAATGATACAACTATTTGAACTCTCCGGAATGTGTGAGGTATCACGCCGCATTTGATATCCGGATTATCGTTTTGCATAGTTCACTTTCTTTTGTTATATTCCGTACCACTCGTTTATTTTAATCCTCGTTGAAAAATCACCCATTTGCTAAATATAGTCCTAGCTGGAGCGCACTTACGCGCATATACAGGGTGTTCGAAAAGTCCCCTCCCCCCCTCTAACTTTTGACCTAATTGAGGTAGAGATTTGAAACTTGGAGAAGGTTCTTAGATCAAAGGGAGCTACTTTTTGACCCCCTCAAAATTTTGGGGGCCCCCCCTTGGGGGGGTTACGGACCCTAACTTTTTTTTTTTTCAAATAGGAAGACCCCCTTTGTGATACCTCGTTCGAAAGAGCATAAAAAAAGAAAAATTTTCGCGCAAACCCGAAGTCATTATCTCAAACCGTTTCAAAATGGCGGCCGGTCAAAGTTCAAAATGGCCGAAAATTGGCACCTCTGCTATTTGCGCATGGATTTGCTTGAAACTCGGTATCTGGGGGTATTTTGGCACGAGAAAAACGAATTTGACGTTAGATTTGTAAAAAAACCCAAATTTTTCAAAAAGGCCGCCGATTTAGGCTCGAAATTTTGACAAACTCGATTTTTTGCCGATGGATTCACCTGAAATTCGGTAGCTGGGGGTATTTTGACCCGAGAAGAACGAATTCGACGTTAGATTTTTAAACAAACCCGTATTTTTCAAAATGGCCACCGATTAAAGTTCAAAATTGTCAACAATTGGCAACCTCGACTTTTTGCCGATGGATTCGTCTGAAACTCGATGTTTGGGGTATCTGGGTGGGAGAAAAACGATAAGCTGAGAATCCTGAAGCTAAAGCTTGAAATTTAACAGGAATCCATCGGCAAAAAGTCGAGGTTGCCAATTATTGACAATTTTGAACTTTAATCGGCGGCCATTTTGAAAAATGAGGGTTTGTTTAAAAATCTAACGTCGAATTCGTTCTTCTCGGGTCAAAATACCCCCTGATACCGAATTTCAGGTGAATCCATCGGCAAAAAATCGAGTTTGTCGAAATTTCGAGCCTAAACCGGCGGCCATTTTGAAAAATTAGGGTTTTTTTACAAATCTAACGTCAAATTCGTTTTTCTCGTGCCAAAATACCCCCAGATACCGAGTTTCAAGCAAATCCATGCGCAAAAAGCAGAGGTGCCAATTTTCGGCCATTTTGAACTTTGACCGGCCGCCATTTTGAAACGGTTTAAGATAATGACTTCGGATTTGCGCGAAAATTTTTCTTTTTTTATGCTCTTTCGAACGAGGTATCACAAAGGGGGTCTTCCCATTTGAAAAAAAAGTTAGGGTCCGTAACCCCCCCAAAGGGGGGGCCCCCCAAAATTTTGAGGGGGTCAAAAAGTAGCTCCCTTTGATCTAAGAACCTTCTCCAAGTTTCAAATCTCTACCTCAATTAGGTCAAAAGTTAGAGGGGGGGGGAGGGGACTTTTCGAACACCCTGTATGCAAAAATGTTAACGGTAATCGACAAGCCCAACGTGCATGGAGGCTATCTCCATTTCAATCTTCCGTCACATACTTACGGCGCAGGTATACAACTATTTGAACTCTCCGGAATGTGTGAGGTATCACGCCGCATTTGAAGGCGTTTTCAAAACAGCCAAGTTCCGATACTCGGATTATCGTTTTGCATAGTTCATATTCTTTTGTTATATTCCGTAGCACTCGTTTATTTTAATCCTCGTCGAAAAACCACCCATTTGCTAAAAAAATTCTAGCTGGAGCGCACTTAAGCGCATTCATGACTGCAAAAATGTTAACGGAAATCGACACGCTCAGCGTGCATGGAGGGTATCTCCATTTAACTCTTCCGTCCCATTCTTACGGCGCAGCGATAAAACTTTTTGCACTCTCTGGAACGCGTGAGGTACCACGCCGCATTTGAAGGCGTTTTCAAAACAGCCAAGTTCCGATACCCGGATTATCGTTTTGCATAGTTCACTTTGTTTTGTTATATTCCGTACCACTCGTTTTTATTAATCCTCGTAGAAAAACCACCCATTTGCTAAATACAATTCTAGCTGGAGCGCACTTCAGCTTGATGCATTCACCACTGCAAAAATGTCACAGGAAATCGACATGCCCAGCGTGCATGAAAGCAGGCCCGCCACAAGGGGGGGATACTGGGCCCCTGGTACTCGTGAAAAACCACTACGAATTCACATGCAACCCTCGTTCGTAAGAAAAAGTTAAAAATTTACCCTAAAAATTTCGCAAAAGGTGAATAGATTTTCAGAAACACTCTGGGGCACTGTAGAATTCTTCTTAAATTTTCATAGAAGTATACTTCTTGGAAAATTTCTATCTATTTTCAAGATTTTCAGTACAGAGGGATATTTTTAGTAACTGGGTTTCATTTTCTTCCGTCGTCAGATGCTAAAAGTCTCCAGTCTGGGCATCCTCGACTTCAATGGCTTATGGCTCAACTCCCTTGCCATGGACAAACGAAGGGGGAGTCCAGGGAGGCCTGGCCCTCTTAGAACTGAAAATAGTATCATATTCCCCCCCCCCCAAAAAAAATAAAAATTTTCCAGATGTTTTGAATGCTTCGCAAGTATTTGGTGCTGAAAGTTGAAAAAAAAAACATAATTATTCCGCAGAAATTGATGGAAAAATTCTTTATGGAAGCTTCAAAATGCGTCGGATTAGTCGTATAAATTCTAAAATTTCTCGGGGGATGCCCATCGGACCCCCCCCCCTCCGTGCTTGGGGCTCGGGCCTTAAAACTGGAACCAGGGACCAGCTGGAACCAGCTGGGATGTGGCGGGCCTGCATAGGTGTACTGAAGTTATGTGCAACTGTTTTTCCTCTGAATATTGGAATGCCGAGTCCAACCTCCGAACTCGGAACGGACCTTGATTTGTCTCAAACATGAACCTGTCAGTATCAATCAGGAAATTGGCCTCTAGGGCAGTTTACAGTACATGTACTTAAGCCCTGTCGATATATCTCGATTTTGGACGGGAACATTTTTTCGAGTGGATGTCGAATCCTCCATAGTACGAGACGTATAATCGATTGTGCGTAGTCCTATGGCTCCCCTAGAAAATGGTCAATAACGAGTGTTTCTTACGCTGTTGCAAAAGTGCGGCGATCTCGTGCTTTTTGCGGATCGCTCGGACTAGCGGACTCGTGGAGCTTTTTCGACTGGAAAATCGGACTCAGCCAATTATTTCCAAGAGGACTAGCCTATTTTCAGCCCGATCGGAGAACTTACGATTTTGACCCCGAAAATTTAGTTGATTTTTCTCGATTTTGGACATGGAAAAAAATTTCGAGATCAGTGTCGAATCCTACGGAGTCCGAGGCGTAGAATCGGTACCCCTCGCTTGAAAGCCGCAGGAGCCTTAGCCTTCTCATCCGAGAAACGAGTATTTTTGACTCTTTTTGTCCGTTTCGCACACATCACTTTATCTGTTGATTGTGGGCTTCTATGAACTTGTAGATCATTTTGCACCGAACAATCAAATTGAGCGCGTGTCCAAGGGGGACTAGCATAATTTCAGTCCTATCCCTATCAGAGAACTTCCGATTTTGACCCCGAACATTTTGAATATTCACTTGCATATTGATGGCTAAAATGCAACACCCCTTATCTCATTGCAGTGTTTCAAAATCTCCACTCCTAATATATTTGTATGAGGAGGAACAAGTGAACTTCGTTTAAATTTGTAGGTACAGAATATTCTCTTAAAAGAGAAGAACAATCAAGGAAGTTTTCGAGAAATTATGTTGACTAGTTTTCCAAGGAAAAAATATAGCACAACCGGAAGTCTACACCGTCGGAAACAGAGATACTTGGTTTAGTACTTTAGCCTTCAATGGAGTTGATGAGTGTTTGGTAACTGGAAAAGCAGTTCTAAGGCTGATAGGAGTTGACGGATTGCTTGATTTTGTCAGCCATTGTCTTTATTGTCCCTGTGTCGGGTGAAATGGACCAAAGTTGAAGGAGCTTATTGAGTAGCCAATATTTCCTTGTATTGACACTGAAATTGGGTGAAACTGTTGTAACTGTATTGTATGAAATTGTTCATCCAACATGGGGCTCAATTTTAATTTAAAAAAAAGGGTAAAATCAATCTCCATATCTGCGCCATTTCATTTAACAAGTGAGGAAATATTAAATTATGACCACACAGTGAATTAGTGAGAATTTACTTTATTTAGCATTTTATTAATGAACTAAAGGTACTATTTTAATTTACAAATTCAGTCATCAAAACAATAATACAATCTCAAGTATAAGTAAAGCTTTGACAAATAAGTTGTCAAATATGCAAAAAAAAGGAAATAAATAAAAAAAAAATAATAATGAAATAATGTGAGATTGTTCTCCAAAACAGAGCTTAGAAAAATGGCAAGTAATTATTTAATTCTAACATCAGGAGAAACAGATTTAAGTACTTGGAAATAATTTGGCATGACCTGAAAACTGCCAAATAATAAGAAAGTTTAGGAAAATTTAGAGCTATACCCGCACAGGAGGGGGAAAATGGGAACATCTGGACAGACTTTGAAATTGCATCCAATGAAATTATTAAAATAGTCCTGTTGGATTAATGGGTCTTCTCTTGGATAAGGCATTCACTATAAGAAGGGCCATTATGCACTAGGGTCATAAAAATAGAGCATCAAGTGTGTTAAACCGAAGACTATCCGTGTTACTCCTATTACAGTGATGTGTAAAACATTCTTAGGGTGGAGAATTCAATGTTTCCCTAGCAAAATGCAAACTGGCTGATTGATACAGGAATGATGCTGCATGCTTCATTTCTGTCCATTATCAAGGTTTGGATGGATACTTATTGCTTTTGTGAATAAGAGGATAAAATTTGTGCGGAACAATACCTGAGCAATATTTAAAAGCCTCTAAATACATTTTTTAAATTTATTGGATGGAAGTTAGAAAAATTCAATTTTTTACCAAGTACTTTCCAATTGTGAGTTGTGACAAAAATAATCTTATACCGCACAATCTCATTTCCATAGTCTTCAAAAAATAGATCTAGAAAACTTCAATGCTCTGATTTAATGTATCTAACCGAAGCTCATCTTTTAATTTATAAAAATTTCATTTAAATTTTGATGTGTGACTTCATGACACATTTAAACTTGACAGAAGTTACACTGTTGACGCGAACCAAACGTTGTTAGTTAGTTCAAACATTTTTATGACCTCATTTAAATAGTGCTGATGCTTTTCTTCATAGACTCTTCTCCCAGTAAATGTATCTTAGAATTATTTTTGTACAGAAACTTTACAAAATTTAAAAGGTATTGATGGGTTTTTATTTTTTTTTTTCAACTGAAACCATCTAAGAAGTGATATATGAGTAAAATTCATCGCTTGAGTAAATATCAAGAGGAATACATAGATATTTGTTCTCATTGAAAAGTAGTAAGAAAGTTGAAATGATACATGCCAAAAAAAAAATAATTCCTTATGCAGTAGTTCAGATTCTAAAGTCTGCTAAAAAACGGAAAAGTTAACAATATTTTAGAGGGGAATTAGTAAAAATCAAAATTGGATATTATGGGGCACATTTCTTGGAGTTCATGAAACAACATGCAATATAAGAAATCAATTAAACACTTTAAGGAATAAGAACAGATCTGATTCAGAGTCCCATAAACCAGAAGGGTTAGGAGAGAGGAACGAAAATTATTGCTTTGATGAGATAAGAGGAGGAAAATGTTTTAACAATGATCACTCATCATACATTAGATACTAAATAAATTTTTGAGTAAACTGAAACTTAAAATTAAGGAATACACAAAAGGAATTAAAATTAAAATAGATTGAACCAGAGTAATAAACACAGGAGGGCTCAGTTACTTCACAATTATCTGGATTGACATGAGCGCGAAAAGTTGATGAACTGCCATGTTTTCTTCAATTAAAAAATAAGGGGGAAAGCCAGAAGGAAAGAGAGAGGAAGAAAAAGAGAGAAAGAAGAAAAAGGAAAAGGTAACGGAAAATAGATATGACAAGATTATGAAGTGGTTGGATATAAAAAATAAATTCATGTATTTTGAGATCTATTGTTTTCAATATGGCAAACCGTTGCATTGGAGGACTGAGAGGCCTACTTGGAAAAAAGAAATAAAGAGTGGTTTCAGACCCAAGCTAGATAAAGGATGATACTTGCGTTAATAAAGGAGTATTTGAAATGTTGATGGGGCAGGCGAAACAAATTCAGTGTGCCACACTTTTTCATGCAAATAAAGACACTTAAAAGACCTCTACTTAGAGACTCATCATGACCTTGATAAATATATTAGGGAAAAACGTATTAACATTAGAAGCACCACCACCAGATATTTACATGTTTTTACTTCAGCGAAAGAGTACTTGCAGACGTACAGATAAATAACCGTGAAAAGTTTCCCCCAATGAATTCTCATGGCAAATAAATAGAAATCATGATAAAAGAAGAAAAAAAGGAATTACAAAAAAAGGGGGAAATGAGAAAAAACACTATCCCCTACAAAAGTTTGTATCACAGATAATGGATCTCAATCGGAAAAATTCGACTGAAATTATGATCACTTAAAAACAAGCCAACTGATTGATATTAGTTATTCATCCTTCGATGATGCACTTGATTCCAAAACATTATTTTATACACTATGATTGATGACATGAGCTGCCAGGATACATCTCTACAATCTGATCAAAAATAATGACCTAATTACAAACATCAACAACTATGATATTCTGTAATTTCTATATACTTATTTACAAAATAATAAATGATTTTTTTTTTTTCTTACGGCAATGATATTAAAAAATAAAATGATCAAAAAACATTATAAACTAAAATAAATATGCATAAGAACTACAAATTTTACAACTTTTTCCTGCTTCAAAAATAAATAAAACTCCTGTCATAGGAGAGTTTTGGTGCAGGACAGGAAAAAAACACGTAAGAGTTTAAAAATCAAATACCTACTCAGGGATGGGTTAAAATGTAAGGCTGTAAATATGTGTCTAAATCACTGATTCGCTCATGGAAAAGTTATTTTGGATCATTTTGTCCTTTTCTTTACTGTTAAGCCTATCTGCCTGATGTAGCTCAAGTGAATCAGACAGTCGCCATTTTACGAGGGAGGCGTCTGTTTTTATATCTACATGCTGTAAACCAACCCCCACATAATTGCAATCAACATAAAAAAAACCACCGATCGATCTGATGATGTGTAGTTTCCTGATATACTATTAGTATTCATGTAAAAGGGTGGCAGACATATAAATGTCCTTATGAAGAAAATAACTCTTAAGGATGAATTAATGTCTTCTTTTATGAAGCTACAATGCCCAGTCCAAGTGAGTGTTAACAAATAAAAGATTTCAGTCAATGATTCACTCTCACATGACGGTAGGAAATATGATGAGAGATTTGTTCACTCTCTTTTTAGCAACATTTAGTTAACTAAAATTTGGTGGATTGTGCTACTTTTCAATGCTGAAAATATAGGGCAAATAGGAATATTATTAAATTTTTAAAGTCTACAGCTCTAGGAAATTTTACCATCCTGTAAGAGATCATATCAGAGAACTTCTAGTGTCACAAAATTTTTGAGACTTTCATACCTATCAGAAAAGTGTGAAGTAAGAAAAAATGAATGAGAGGTATTCTAATGAAAAGGAGGAAAAGAGAGAAAATAGAGGGGGATCTATTCCTCATTTGGAGGCATGGCAAATCTAACACCGTTACGAGAGTATAATTATTTTCTTACAGATGGTAAATAATTCAAAAGATCAAACAGCTTTAAAATGAACATTTTAGTTCCTTTTAGGAGCACAGTTTTCAGGGTGACTTAGAGTTGTTAGATTAAAATATGACATAAAAGGTAGTAAAATGAAAATTTTTATGAAGAAATCCTTTATCTGAATGTCATCCACCCACCTATGAGAATCGGAATTCATTAAATGCAGCTAAAAGAACTCACGCTTGTGCAAGCTACAGCCAAATGAGTTAGATTTTCTTCGATTAAAGAGTTCCCTGCCAAACACTTCATTACGATCGGTCTTTCCACAACATGCTATTATTATTGTGCAACATGACAGTGAGAACGCTACATGTAGGTCTGCTTTTGAACTAATTGTAAAGTATACCAAGTGTACTAATGCATGCAACCAAGAGATATTGCTAATATTTGACAAACTCCATACTTTACAACTGTCACATTTTGCTGTATTTCATGTTATTTCTTGGTCTGGAGGGAATCTGGACACAAACAATTTTTGGCAAGGAACAAGTTTAAAACAACATTTATAGCCCCAACACAGAAATTAGTTTTCTTAGGTATTGCGGCTTAATACTAAAAACCAAAATTTAATATTAAAAGCTAAAAAAAGTAAAATAACTTAAAGATAAACTAAGAAAAAGGCAAATGGGCTTCCAAAAAATAATCCGCAAACGTATTTTGACCCTTTCAATCTCAGCAAAAGAAATACAGAATAAAGAGACTGACACAGAAGAATGCTTGAAAACTTTAAAATGCCCGGAATTTCCACACCATGATTTGCGTTTTACATAACAACTGATGTAACAGGTAAAAGATACGATCAAAAAAATTCAGAGAGACTGAGAGAGAAAGAGGATGAATTTGCGAAGGTGACTATAACAGTTTTGTTCAAATCGTTAAACATTTACTTCAATTATACCATAAACTTAGCAGAACAATTTACAATATGCAGATGAATAAATGCGATTCCAGGCTAATGATGTGGTGAGGGTTACAACAAAAATTCAGCTCAAGAAACTACAATTTGTAAACAAAATAAAATTATGATTACTTCAGTGTATAAAAAAAATAGTTCGATGAGGGAATAAACGGAGAAGAAAACCTATGCACATTTATACAGGCAAGTTCCGTTTTCAAAACTATGATTTAATACTTAATCTGTACAAAGGCAATGATGTAGGTAGATAATTGATTTAATCAGACATCTGTGGTTGATTTAATTTTTCAATCTATCGAGTTCCGAAAAATATCATTTGGGTGGCTGTTCTGATTTAAAAGCGATGTGTCATTCTGTCTACTGCTACATTGCTGAAAAAAAGAAAAGAAAGTATTTATTAGACAGGCTTGCTCCAACAAGGCAAACATTCCTGCTTGAAAATATCAATTACATATTGTTAAAAAATTTCCTGACTTTTTCCAGACTGCTTCTTACAAAAAAGCTTGGTAACAAAATTCTATTCAACACATACATCTGAATTAAGTTGTAATAAGATGCAGTTTTTACTAAAATATTACATTTTCTTTCTATCAGAATAATTTTCCATTTCATATAATAATCTAATTTTGCCAGTCTTGAAAATTTCCTCCCAATTTCCTGTTCAAAATTCTTAGATTATGACAAAGGTTATGGGCAAAGCTAGTCAGAAAAGTTTAATTTGAAAAAGGAGAAAGAACTTTGATACTTGAAAGTCTCCTAATTTCGCAGAATATATAGCTAGAAGTTTGGCCGAAAAATGGGCCTTAAAAACATGTATACTACTTATACACTCAAGGACCGAAAAACTTCACATGTTTAGCCACAGGCCTCTTCGTGGGAATTGAATGACATGTGCCACAAAAATTTTTCTATTCGCTGATGATATCTGGCTGAATTCGGTCTCTTTTCCAGATTTTTTTTTCCCTCTGAGTTAGGCACTTTCAAACCAAACAATTCATTTGTAACCAGTTTTTTACACCAGAGACATTTTCTTTGATCTCCTCGAGTGTCTGTGATTAAAGTATTTATTCCAATGGAAGAGAAATATTAAAAGAAAACTTACTGCTTGTTTCTTTTCCCATGTTTTCATGGCATGTTTGTATTTCTGGAACTCATGACACCAGTCCGAATAAACTTTATGATAGTCGGCATTCTTCCCCGGAGGAGCACATCTATGAGCATCAACAGTAAGATTGAATGTACACAGCAGAGCACCTCCCAGCTGACAGTCATAGCGTCCAGCATCACTCTCAGCGACAGCCACAACGACGAGACCACTCTCGCTTGTGCTAATGTATTTGTCACCTCTGAAAAATGAATCAATAAATAATCATTTTCAATACATTTGAATCATGTGGTTCAAAATCATGCAATCTCCTTTTTTCTAAAACACTTATCTCAACCTATTTTTACTAAGCCTGCCTAAATTAATCACCTTCCCTACAGAGAAATGATTTTAGGCGCTGAGTATTGTTTTTCTTAAAATGTAGGAGCTAATACCAGACATGGGCAACAGGCATTTAATCTCATCGTTTAAAAAAAAAAAAACCACTTTCTGGAAAACTGAAATGGCCCATTTTTAAATTAAATGATTCGTTTGTGGTTTGCCCAAAACTTTGAAAAAGACTGAGAGTTAAAATTGAGATTCTTTCAACAGTGCACTAATGTTTGTAGCAAAAACATTTGGGTGCAAAAAATATGATAAAGACAAAAAATATGAAAAATTGATTTATATCAATTCTTCTAATTTTCAATGTGATGATTGCTAGACTCTTTGAAATTTATGATCCATATACCTCTTTTCTCAATTGCAGTTTTAATGGATTTTCAGTTTACATTGCCTTATTCCTTAGTGTTACAGAATTTTTAAGTTTAAATTCTTTTTTTACTTTTATATTTTTCTGTTTAGAGTGGCTTTCTACATCAAAGCTCATGAAATAAGTATGGATTCAAAATAATAAAAATTAAAGATTGAGCTCATCCTCACAATTTATTCTGAATCTTTTGACTAAATAGAATCAGTCTTTTTTTTTAAAGTGCCATAAAATGGATGAGATTCCTCTCCTTAAGCGAGATCATTTTGTGCCATTAATTCAGACGCCATTTTGCCATAGTTCATCAAAATTAACTTTTTAGAAAAAGAGCTGATTGCTGAAACTTATGTCAGTATGAAAAGATATCAAAAATTGGTATAACTACTCACCGGTACTGAATTTGATATCGCCCTTTTTCTTTGCTATAATGATACCATGATATGGGATGAAGACTAAGAACTTGGGGCATTTTCAAGAAGCAACTTAGATGAACGCTCTGACCCCAAGTTACCACTAGCTTCTTTCTACCAACTGAACTATCACAGATACTATGAGACTGGTTGCCGACATCTTGCAACAACCTTGAAACACAGAACAAACAGCCAATTAAGAGAATGTTTACCTGGACAAAATATGGAACCATCGAGGAAAAATGGGACTTAAGTGAGCAAATACAAATCTTAATTTTTTAGGAAACTTTTTACTTTCCTCAAGAGAAATTTTTTTTATCAAGATGCATTCAGAATTCAAAAATTTAAAATGAAAAAAATTCAAAGAGGAATCCGGTCTAAGTAGTGACCAAAAGAATGGCTCACTGGTAGTGGAGTTCGTTTTCGTGCAAATCGAGGGTGTAACGTTGCATAGATTTTTCAACAGCATACTTCTTAATTGTCTAAACTTCAATTTAATTTGAAATTATTAGCAGTGTTTTCTGGTAAAATATCGCAAAAATGCTCTACAAAGAAGTCACTATCTCAATTTTCAGTATTTTAACATGGATGTCCCCGCATTAATGAAATATTAGAATATTTGATGTAACAGCTTGCAATTGCACCCGGGATATGAAACTTACCCTGGTTCATACGCTTTACACGTATTAGAATCTTTGTCCCAACCACAATAAGGATCATGAACACAGCGAAGGCAGTTATCATATCGTCTGTTGCACATAACAAGCTCAATTTGTCGGATACGGTCATCAGAGGCAACATACAAAGATTTGTGCTGAAAGAGAGAAAGAAAGCAAAAAATTAGCGGAGGGAGACTTTACGCAGTGATGTTTTTAGTTGAGGCAAACAGGCCTCTTGCAGACTTTTTCTGCACAACCGATTTTCAAATGCTTAGTTTCTGCGTCTGGCACTAACGAAAATACCCTAAACGAAATAACGAAATGCCCTTTGATATTTATCGTCGATATTTTGATTTTTCAGATCATTCTTTCACCTGGGAATCATTTAGTGACGTGCACTCATTTACACTGGTCGCTTGACTTAAAACAAGAATAAAACCTAGGTAAAAGAATCAACGATAGCACACCCGTGGTAGATGGCATCATACACTGTGTTTTTCTGAAGGGCGATATTTTACATTGGACATGGAAACTTGACGTTAAGACTGATCTTACTATTTTTGGCTAGTTTAAAATTTGGAATCATCAAAACACAATTATTTTCTACTTTCTACCTAGTCTTCGGTTGAATTTTTTTTTCTTTTTAAAATTAGATTTATTCTTTGGGTTAAAGGTGATAAAATTGTAAAGGGTACTTGTAGACTTTACCTTACCGTAGACTTTTTCACAAGGCCTTGCTTAAGAGGGTGCACTGAAAAAAAGTTACCGGCTATATAGACATACCGTCCGTTCCGGGCTCAGAGGCCGAAAATACCGAGTGCTGAAACCGTGCTTTTGACTGCTCCGGGATCTACACCCGGAACTGCTGGTCGCTGAGCCCGTAACGTGGACGGTATGTCTACATAACCCGTAAATACGGCTTCCACGGCCTGAGTTTTTTTTTTCAGTGTACCTGTTCTCTGTTTTCAGTTTTGTTCGTTTTTCTGTTAACCAGCCCGTTCTCAACCTGCGAACTTGGAGGACATCGAGGGCCGGGTATCTACTAAGACAGACTGGCCAAAAACCAGTACTTATGCTGTACTCTTTCAATACATCCCCAAGAATTTCAGTACCTCCTGAACAGAAAAATTCAGTACTTGAATTTTCAGTGCCTCCATTTAACGAAATTCGAAAAATTTCAAAAATTAGAATTTCTCGCTCATTGCGGTTTTCAGTTTTTCCGGACCGCCCTTAGAAAATCAGCACTATTTCCGGACTTTCCGGAATCCGGACTTGTAGACACCTCGGAGGGACTTACCGTGCGTGAGATTTCCATCCTGCGGATGGGCTCATCGGGGGTGACGTCGAAGATATCGAGGAGGGAGGAGAAGGGCTCGCCGTCATCGTTGTACCACTGGACGACCTTGTAGACCTGACCGGTGTTGGTGCCGGCGTAGTAGACGGTGTAGTCGAGGACGTGGCCGAAGACGTCGTAGGAGAGGGTGTCGACGACGAGGTGGGTGAAGAGGACGTCGCGCTTGTAGAAGACGGGTCGGTGGTCGCGGTGCCCGACGGCCTCGTCCATGAGGGGGTGCGAGCGGATGAAGTTGAGCACCGTGTCGGGGAGGGTGGCCGTGTCGTTGACGCACTCGCCGGGCCGGGGCTCGGGGACCCGGTTCGACAAGACGGGGAGCCACGCCGAGCTGGACGTCGCCTGCTCCTTGAACTTCCCGGCGAAGGCCCGGTCGATGTCCTCCAGGGTGAACGCGCAGATCGCCGAGCCCATGAGCCCGGTCGTCGAGGTCGTGAACACTCCGTAGAACAGCTTGTCCTCGCCTGGCACCTTGTAGATCGACTCTGAAACACCAACCCAACAACTCAGAGCAGCCCAAATCAATTGAGTTTCCAGTGTACTTGACACTCTCTACTGCATTTACAACTGGACGTATTTATGCTGAGAGGAGCTATGTGGAAGTGGAAAGATGGGGTGTGCTCATGGAAGCTGGATAAGAAACGATGTAAAAGTGGATAGGTATAGTTCCTTTTGAGAAAATTGAAAAGCGGATTTGACATTAAATCAAAAGGGACTGAGCGCCAAGTCGTGAGCCGTGGACATGTGACAAGAGCCTTGTGGACAGGGCTCGTGAGTTGAAACGAGCGAGCACGACAACGGAGACGGCTTCGTTGCCGCTGACGTCACTGGCGATTTCAAATCCCCATTCATTCTTATAGCCCGAGCACTAACGAGCACACCCCATCTTTCCACGCGCAAGTAGTTCCATTTAGCATAAATACGTCTAACTATTCTCTTGCATTTATTTCTTGCTAATCAGCTACGATACTTCTTTTCATGTCTTTCATGCGCAGGTAAAAGTTTTATTTCATGATAGACACCCTATGAAACAGTCCTATGGGAATATTACACGGGATACCATACTGTCGTGCTGAAAACAGAAGGGATTCAATTTTTTCAATTGGACAAAAATTAATGTTGCATTTTAAAGCTATTGCTGTGTTCGAGTGCGGGTTGGATACTCAGCCCCTAATAAAGGCATGTCTTCTTTTCGAACTATTTCACAGCCGAATGAAATTTCATAAAGTTCGGTCTAAAAATATTTAATCAGAACACGGGTTGGTGTTTTAAGTGTGTGGGACTCACGGATTTCATTAAAGTAGAAGGGAAATTCTCCGGGGATGGAGCAGTTGAGCCTGGCTTTGAGATAGGTGGCCCAGTTCTGGCTGAGGATGTGTTTGCCCCCGGTGTCTCTTTTGCAGACTCGGGCCACTCGCGAGAAGACGCTTTTGCCGCAGTTGATGTACTCGACGGCCGTCTCCCGGAAGAAGAACAGGACGTGCTGCCCCACGTCGTACGATCCAACGAAGTCCGGTTCTGCAACAAACAAAGTCAACAACTTGGTACAAAAAATCAGACAAAACACACACACACACAGAAAACAGAACGAAAGCCATTCAGAAAGGAAAACAAAAACTAATCGAAAGCACAAAGTGAGAGGAACAGGAAAAAACATAAGGAATCAGCCCCAAAACATTGATAAATAAAATAACCAAAAATAAAGAAATAAATAAAAATACTCTAATTTCTATTTTATTATAAGAATAAAACTTAATAAATTCTTCAGTTAAAAAAGATGATAGAAAAATATAGAGAATTATATTCAAGAATGTATTTTGTTCTCAAAAAAAAAAGTTGATACAAATAATGCTGCAGACAACCAAACTTTTGCATTTATTCTCTGCAAGTCGCAGGAGGAAACTGGAATTACTCTTAAAAATGAATGAAATTAAACCTTTTCACGTGCACACTGAAGAAAAACCACATATTTGAAGAAAAACTAAGGCTCAATTTTATGAAATTTCAAGGAAAAATCTTTTTAAACCGAGAAACTGATCGAGACTACTCAATTTTGTTTCGCCTTCACTCATTGATACGAAGGGAGGAATTTAGGAGTTTATTATTTCGTCTGGCAGCCAGGGTTCACCATGGAGGCAGGAGAAAGGGGAAGGGGAGGAGGGCTATCCCACACCGATTCCATTTCAATTAATCCGCGGGTGAAAGAAAAAGGAAGACAAATTGCGATAAATGGAAAACGGGGGCACCGACGAAGGGGGGGGGCGAAGTTCGTTAAGCGAGGGCAGTGCGCCCTTTCGCCCTTTCTGTGCGCGCTCCCCAAATTAATTCCGTATAAGCGAAAGAAAAGAATTTCCCCTTTTTCGAGAAAAAAAACCCCAACTGTTACGCTGACCAGAGCGGAGTATCCGCTCAAATTGGACGAAGCTGGCGGAAATGCTCGCAGAGTGCGATTGCCAAATTAAGCGATGGTGAATTGAATTACGACGGCCTTGGTAGCAGATTTTGAAACCTACACACGTGAATTAACAGCAATTGTAGAAAGGAGTTGCGGTTCCAAGTCTTTCGAGTTGGAAATTGATACAAAAGTATTCTTAAGTTTTCGGAAAGAAAAGCTACACTGGAAAAAAAACCGCATTGGATCTAGAGTCCAGACTCTTGAAAACATTGACAAGAGAAAATACTCTTGATTCAATCAGATTTAAGCTTGAATCAAAAGAAAATCCGCTCATATTAAGAGGCATGGTTCTTGATTTAAGCTTAAATCTGATCGAATCAAGAGTATTTTTTCTTGTCGATGTTTTTAAGAGTCTGGACTCTAGATCCAATGTGTTTTAATTCCAGTATATCTCCTAAATAGATACGCCATTAAGTAGAAAGGAAAGGGCAAAAAATGCATAAAGATGTGTAGAATATGAACTTTTGATGACTCAAGAGAGAAATTTTGAAGTTTTATTCTACTGGTCTGAGACGGAAAATGAGAACACGCTACGGACGACATCCTCGCAAAAACATAGATCAGTCCGTGAACACGCTCCACATCAATTTTTGGACGTGTGTTGATAGCGGCGCAGAGATGCAACTATTCGTGCATGACGGATGTCCGTGTTGCGTCTGAATAATTGAAGGCGCGATGGCGAAAGGTGTGAACTCTCAGTACTCCGCTTTATGTTGCCAGTGAGGTGTACGTTCAGATTCAGGAGAGAAGTCACACGATGAGTTCCGAATATGTTTTTCTATCTTCTGAGAAAATCACCAACCCCTTGTTGATAAAATTTGCGACAGAAGGATATAGGACAAAATTAATGTTCAAGTAACGTAATAGCGCGGACGCGTTCAATGTATTCAGCGAAAAAAAGAGACGTGAGAAGCGAATTCTGCAGAGAACTTTAAAAAGGGTAAGTTAAATCGTTTGATCAGGTCAGTAAATTACCTCCTCGATGAAAAAGCTAGAAGGCTATAATCCTTTCAACAGCGTTGATTGAACCTTTCGTGCTCAAAACCACGTGAAAAAGGTAGGTCTATCAGCTCCTGAGTTTCAATTACGGTGTAAATACTATTTAGAAAATATGAATAGACGATAAATGATAGCGGGTGATTATTCATTTGGGTTTTTTCTCTCCTTTTTTTCTTTTCTTTTTTTTAATGGAGGTAAACATTGATTAAATCCTTTGCACACACCTAACAGGAGCCAAGCCTCAATTCACAGCGAGGCATAATTGCATAACTTCATAGCAGGTTACTTGATATTTTATAGATCGAAGTTTCACTTGAGACTTGGGAGGGTTGACTAAAAATAAATTAAATACTGCCATCTTCGTCTATAGATGGCTCTTACAAATCTGAATCGATACCAGCCGCGGTACCATCTTTAAAACTCAGGGTTGATTCTACCACCTTTTCTCAACCTGACCTCTCATCAAAACCAAACTTTAGATGTTCCTGTCCGAGGTCTTGCGGATTTTTCATTTTCGAAATGGCATGTATATGTACTTGCAATAGAATATTTTGGAGCTACAAAAATTTAGCCTCCCCGTAAAATTTGACGGACATTCGGATTACCTGTCAAATGATAACCGGAGGTCCACAGAGGAAAACAAGTTGGGGCCTCACTGTCAGAATACATGATGATGATTCCTAGCTCGAGGCTCCGGTCGGTTTACGTTTGTAACATCTTTTCATTGGCTCCGGGTGCGGTTTCACAAGTTACGCGCGACGCAAAGTTGACCGCGCGGTAGATTTGATATGATTTTAAAGGGCTGATTATTGGAATCAATAGACAAAGGAAGTAAAGGAAAATGGAGCGATCATATTGGCTGAATTGGGTGGTTGTTAAAGGGCGAAAATAATATGCTAACCATAGAGTCTCTCGTGGGTTATCGTTAGTCTACTACTAACCTCCTGTGGTCATTGCAACCACCTGCTTTCACCAATAGGATAGCTTCATTTTCTCTTTTTTTTCTTAGTCCATCGCTTCGTCTATCGATTTCATCAATGATCAGCCCGCTGTTCGTTGCCACATACGTAACGGGAATTACCATTTAAGGGGCAACAGTTCGGTTCAACTTGAATGTACATAACGGGTGAACAAACATTCAAAAATCGAAACACACGTAACAATAATTACTGATTTCATCTTCTTCTGGCAAAAAAACGGACCCATCATGCCCGGAGGCACATTTTGGTTGTTCATTCATCTCCATCAACCTATAATCTAATCTGAGCGAATCAGAGGTCAAAATATGACGGCTGATTAGTCAAATCAAGCGGTTAATTTTTTTTGCATTAGCAGACTTTTGGTTCGATTCTACAAACGAGATTTTCAAAGAGTGGACAGCTTAAATGTTCTTACAGACATGACAGATCCATTTTCTGCCGAAACTTGAAAGCAAATCCAGTATTTCGGGAAAATTTGTTGGATATCTAAATTTTTGCTTTCCGTTATGGGTCGTATTCGATAGTGGTTTGATGTATTGCTTGGTTCAAAGCAATAGAACATAACCTCAAACCAAAATTTTAGGATATAAGTCAGAAAAGTTGAAAATGAGAAATTTCGAGGCAATTTCACTCCTCTTGGGTAATTAGTACTCATACGAATCAAAAATCTACCACAAAAAACCCGTTCCGTCAGATTACTCAATTGACTTTTGAGGCTATGTCGATGTTTTGAACCAATCTATACATCGATAAAACCCCACTAGTTCAATGTATCTATAAATTCATTTGAAAATCACGGCACCTGGACGCGCGGCCGACTGAACTTGACGTCGCGTGCTGTCTGTGTGGCTGTGTCTTAAAAAGCGACGTACTCGAGAAGGGTCTCGGGTGCCGCCGCGCTACAGAGAAACCAAGATGAGTGCGCCGCGAAGAAAAAGAAGAAGGGAAAAAAACGCGGGGAAAGAGATGGGACAGGACCGCGGGCGAGAGTTCACATAACCTGTCTACATTCACGGGCTCGTCCTCGGAAAATTACGCAGATGACTTTCCTTTCATTGCTGGCTCCTTGAATATTTATCAGCCTCTTTTGTTCTTATTTGGGACTCGTCCACATGAAAAACGCCGACCCCCGCCCCCCTCCCTCTTTGAGCCCTTTATCCCTTCCTACCGACGGCGAGCGTCTTCCTCCATTTCCAAATACTTGACGGCATCGTTTCTTTCCAGGCGTTTTAATCACGAGCTCCCCGAAATACGCGAACTCCCCGTGGTCCGTGCTTTCGATTTAACCTGACTGGCCGCTTCACGGCCCAAGCCCTCAAAGCGCTTCGCGTCTCAGGCATTATGCGTTACGCTTGCACGGATAAAAAAACTTCGTGCATGGGACCCGAAGTTGAGATCATAAGGATCTCTGAAGTTTTCTGATCACGCATCCGAAAACTTGAGGTCCAGCTGCCGAGTTCGGGTCAGGCATCGAGGCACTTCGGTATGTACCGGAGTACTTCAGATGTGTGACCCGAATCTGACCCGAACTTCGACAGCTGGACCTCAAGTTTTTAGATACGCGATCCGAAAACTTCAGAGATCCATATGAACCCAACTTCGGGCAATACTGTTTTTGCTCCATTTAAATCCATTAAAAATATCGATTATAGGTGAGGCCAGTTGCCTCAACAAGAATCGATTGTTTTACAAATACTTGAATAGAGAAAAAACAGTGTTGCTAACTTTCAAGAATCGCAACTGCCACAGTCGGAAAAGCATAACTACATCACACCGCTGAATAATTTTAAATTCATATACACATGACTTTGAACGATTAAGACGGGCGAAAAATGTATAAAGTGTGTGTATTTACAATGGATGTTTCAAAAAATGCAATTTTGAACAAATTAACAGTCCACCCTTACTGTACGTCTCGATTTTGATATGCATCCACGAAGTGGGGTCCTCGCCGAAACCCACTTGCAACTGGCAACAGCCGCCCGCTCCCGCCGAATTTAAGTCAAGATTAATTTTCTGGATTTATCCATCGACGCGCGCTAAAATATCCCGACCACCCCCAAATAATAGAATCCCTCTCCCCG